TAATCCATTATTAGTTTCTCAAAATTAAATAAAGTTTTGGAGTATATCAACGAATCGACTGATGGTTCCGTCCTTCTTATTCAGAGCAATGAGAGGTTTCGTACAATACTAGAAGGTTTAGAATTGTTTGTACTGAACTTTTCGTCTTCATATTATTGATCTTATGGTTTCGTATATTTTCCACGAAAAATTTCAGTTTCGTAGGGGTGATTGATGGTTTCGCACAAACTATACGAAATGATTTGTAATTCTCTACACTTTTTGGTGGTTTTACAATTTTCCTATAATAACTTTAAATTTTTTCTTAAAGCATTTTCCAAAAACAAACGTAGCGATTCAGTCAAGATGCTGAATAGATCTGTTCTCATCCAGACATCGACAGTACAAAATCTCATATCCCTTGTCTATACTCATGTAAAATATAGAATGCAAGGAGTGCCATTTTTCACAACCAATTCAGTGGACCTTCAAAAATTCATGCTACACTGTTAATTTTATTTAAATTCTACAAAAACTCATGAATCAGTTACTCATTTTTGGGAAATTATTTAAACAACTACAGCTATAGAGTCATTGTTCGATGATGTATATAAGTCAGTCGACAGTGTTGTGTATTCATTACTTCGTTCAGCAGCTGCAGCTAGTTGATAAATAATTTTTTTCAGATACCACATGAGTTAATCCATTTTATATGAATAGGCCTATGATGTTGATTTATTTCTTGTGGCTCACAAGAATATTAGAAATAGAATTTTCTGAATATAAAATCGATATTTGTAACCTTTCATATTTTTCAAACTGTATTTGGACTGTTACCTAGCATTTTTTAATGTTTAAACTTGAGAATTGTATTTTGAGTATTTCTTTCTGATTAAAATGTTTCTCTTGGAAGTTTTTTTCTCTTCATCGCGCCCTGAAGCAGTATTTTTTTGGTAGCTATGTTTTAACTTAACTTATATTCCAATTTTCATATTTTTCTTATTTATGATGTTATATGGAATATTTTACTTGATATTTATTTTTTATGTTCAGCCTTGATTATGAGATGAAAATAAAAAGCTGTTAGCGCAATCTCTGTGGGATTAAAATGCGAAACACGATGAAACTCCTTTTCTGGAATCCGTCTATCACTGTCAGTGATGACCTATGGAGCTTCTCTGTTGCGGTCTGTATTATGATGTTTGGAGTCTCTAGAAACCATCACAGACCGTTACGGAGAAAATAATTATCTAATTAATTAATTTCTCTGTAACTGTCTGTGGGGGAGGGAGGATTGGTTCACATTTCTCCCCTATATACTTCAACACTCCTTTCAGATCGTGTTTCACAAAATTGAATTTCAAACTTCTGCAAAATACTACAATTACTAAATTAAATGTAAATTTCTAGAAAAGTCCATACGAATTCATTTTCGATTTTCTAACTAGAAGATCGAATTTTCAAGAAAGCAGAAATTCATCGACGAATTCGTATGGACTTATCTAGAATATGTTTTATTACACTGTATAAATTATTTTCTAGTTTACAGTGTATATGATCAACTCAATATCAAATTACTCAAGTATCGCTAATTGAATAAAATCCCAAAAGTCAATATTCTATCATTCGTTTGTTGAGCATACATCAAATTCACAATCATATAACTATCAAGTAGAATCGTTCTTATGAATTTGAAGAACATGAATGAATTTATTTTCTATACCTTACTTGGAAGTATTCATCACAGGTCACAAGTATGATTATTACAATCAAATTAAGCAGTGTGAATTAATCTATTTTTTTATCTTCAGTCAAGTTCATTGTCTCAAATTGTCAAGTATAATTATTCTCATAATATTCAAAAACAACGAATAAATTAATTGTTTGTTTTTGTCGTAGACCCTGTTCATCGTCAGCATTTTCTACCACTATTACTGGAATAATATTTAAGAACATGAATGTATTTGCTTTCTCTATTTTAGATCAAGCTCATTATTTTATTTGTCAGACGTAATCTTCTATGAAAACTCAAATGATGAGTAAATTTCGTTTTCCTATCAATCAAGTTCATCAACATCATTTTCAGGTACTATTATTATAACCAAAATTAAATAGCGATAACAAAATTTTGTTTTCTATCTAAGGTCGAATTCACCATCAGAAATCGCAGGTTAAGTTATCAAGAAGAAAAACAACAATTTTAATGAATTTATTTTCTGTATCTGATACCAAGTTCATCATTATAGATCACAGTTAGAATTATTAGCATGAAAATGAATAACGATAATAACTTTTCCTTTTGAAACTTACATTTCGTCGAGTCATCTTATTCTGACTCGTGGAGTACTAGAATGAAATTTACCATGACGCAATTCCCATTTCTCTTCTTAGATGAAGGTCATCATCAGAAATCACAGGTATAAGACCATTTTTATGAAATTGAAGAGCACTAATTCATTTCTTTTTCTATCCTAGATTGAATCGAACATCATAATTTTCAGGTATGATTATTGTAATTATATTAAACAACGTGAATTAATCTGTTTTTTCTCTTTTTTAAGTCACGTTCATCCTCATGATTCTCTGGTATTATTTGCTTTAGTAATATGGAAGAACTGTAAATGAATTGCTTTCTTTATTTTAGATTGAAGTTATCATCATGAGTCGAAGGTATGATTATAATAATTAAAGCAAGAAGATGAACTAATTGCGATTTTTTCTATCTTAGATCATATTCTTGATTATGTCATTGCTGCATGATACCGTTGATAAACTCGATGATTATGGGCTTATCGATTTTTATTATCTTTCGTGGATGGATCTGTGAAGCATCTACGACAACATGATTTTTGTTAAATGGCATGATAGAAATTCAGTGGTTCATGTATGAGGGTTATTGTAAGGAGACAAAGAAATCGTAAATAAATTGCGTTGTGTCAAATCTCTGAATATTAAATCAGTTCTATCATACTTGGCGTTTGGTTTGGAAACTTTAAATAGTAAGTAAGTAAGCTGAATATTTTCGATCACAATCAATTTATTTATTCTTGTTTTAGATTAAACGGTCGCCAAAAAAGGATTATGCTTCTTGTGTTTGGGAATTCCAAATAGTTGGAATGTGAAAAATAGCGAACCGGTATGTATTGGGTAATAAACTTAGTGCGTAATTTTTTAATACTATTTTGATTGAGGTAGTACCCAAGTAGACAAAAATTTGGAACAATTTGTTTAAACACTCAACCGAGAGCCGCGACCGCGAGTCATTAACACTCATTATATTATAATGACGCATGAGATGTGTCCTTTCGGTAAAATTTTCATTTCAGAGTTTTGAAGCTGTTGAAAATTTCTGTTCACATTGTTAAAACGCGCTGTTATGTTTGAATTTCAAGAACAGTCCGTTTGGCACTGAAAATTGAAGTATTCGGCCATTTTCACACATTGAAATGAAAATTTTGCATACAGAACACGTCTCATGCGTCATTATAATGAGTGTTAATGACTAGCAATCGTGGTTCCCGACGGGGCGTTTAAATACGTTATTTCAAATTTTCGTCTGTTTCAGTGTATTCTAAAACCTTTGATACGAAACTTTTTTTTATCATTTGGCGAAGGGGTTTGGTACCGAACCCTTGCTTTTCTGAACCTCTAAAGGATATTCCCGTATGCCTACCGGAAGTTCCTTCAAAGGTTCGGTAGAATACCTATTTTTTTAGAGCATAGGTACTAAAAGGCATGAGAAGCCAAACGAAAGAAGAACTCCATTCAGTTCGAAGGAAAACCGTATTGGCAATATGCACCGTTGCAGACATACGAATTCAGATATGCGTTAACTGAAAGGAATGTTAAAATTTGCAATTTTCACGTTTTCAAGGTTTACCATATTCCGAAAGAATTCTAAATAGGGTTGTATGAGACTTGAATAAGTCTATATATTGATAAAAAGTTCCGGAAATGTTTTGTTTTACGCAAAGGTAAGTTCATTCTGAAGAGATTAAAAAAGAATAAAGAAGACTTGAAAGAATCTGAGTGATAGCACTTGAATCACGGGAGAAAAAACTCATTCCGAGCCATTCGAATGACTAGGAATGGATTGAAATGGCTAGGAGTGACTCGGAATGACTTTCAATTAATCGCTATGAATTAGTGTCTTGACGTAGTTCAAACTATGCAAAACCTTTAAAATTCATTAGAAACATGATTATTGCTATTGCCGAAGTGCTCTGATTAAAGGAAATCTGTTAAAAAGAGTATAATCGTTTTCCGATATGTATCAGACTTTGTTCATCTTCATCACATTATGTTGTTACTGGCACATATGAACAGTTGTCATATTCATAATTACAAGTAATTACTAACAAAGAGATCCATCATTATGTTGATAAAATAATATTTTAATAGAATCAATTCACGATGGAGTTGCTCAAGAAAAATAAAATGTTTTTCGGGACCTAGGGATCAAATCCCTGCTGTACGTTTAGAGTAGAAGTACTCCACATCTCAAATGTTTTTTTTCCATTTCATCCATATTATTTATATACTTGAGTTTGGATAATGCGTAGCTTTGAATCAATGAAAATCTATTGATTTTCAATGATTAATACCACTACTTGTGAATATGCGTTAACTAAGTTTAACATTATGTAAATCGACTTCAATGAAAAGCTATAACCTCTAGACAATGACAAGGTTCTAAAGACAGATACAGTAATTTATGAAAAATAGCACCACATGAGTAGGGATGGGCCATTTACAGTAATTTTAAATCAAGTTCAATATCATCAATTAGCAATAAATTATAAGTATGAAGTGTTAAGAAGAAAAAACATCTTAGGTTTCACGTTAGCTGACACTACTTCAAAGTCTCATTTAGAAAAATGGTTCATCCCTATTTGAGAAACTTTTAGAATAGCTAGGAATATATTGGAATGGTTGCGAATGACTGGGAATGCCAAGGAATGTTCGCATGAACTTTTTTCCCTTGACTTGAATCATATATATTTCGTCTCGTGTTCTAGATTATGTCAAATTCCAAGAATAACTCGCCTAATATCCGTCGAAAGTTAGCCTTAGTTATTGGCAATCAAAATTATGTAAAGAGACCATTGAGACATTCCGAAAATGATGCTAACGATTTGCATGCTGTTTTAACTGAGATTGGCTTTACGGTTGACAGGGAACTAAATTGTAAGTATGATAAAATGAACGATGCAATCGAAAAATTCTCCAAAAAAATTAAGGACGAAGACTTGTTGCTGTTTTATTTTGCTGGCCATGGTTTTCAATATGAAGGTCAAAATTATTTGGTATCTATCGATGCCATACAAGATTCAGATGAAATTCTAATTGACCAATCTAAGTTGATAAAGGTAGACAATATTTTGGAGAAGCTATCAAAACCAACGTTCCACGTCTCTATTTTTCTTCTTGACTGTTGTCAGGAAAATTTATCTGCTTCTAAAATCATTCATTTGCAAGACGTTGAAACAAGAGATATATCAGAAAAGAAAACCGAATCTCAATGTGGTATAAAAATCTCTATAGTATTAGTTAAAATGACAGCACCTGGTGGTTCAATTATTCAGTTTGCTTGTGCTCCGGGTTACCGAGCAGCCGATGGTTATGATCAAGAACGAAATGGATTATATACAAAGTACTTATTGAAGCACATTGCTCGGCCAAAAGTAGAGATAAACTTGATCTTTCGCAGAATTACTCGGGATGTTTTTGAAGAAAGCAAAGCAAAGCAAAAACCATATATAAAGGGTGATCTTATGACTGAAGAGCCCATATATTTAAGCGCTGGCGATTCTAATGATGGTAAGAACTTGTCTATATAAATTTCTCAGATGTGCAAGCTTTGCTACCTTGCATCAAACTTAAAATCGCATTGCGACATAGATATACGTTTATAGAGAAATGATTTTTGAAACTTGATGAACATTTATTTTTATTCCAAAGAAATCTCTCAATCTTCATAATTGTGCACAATCATGAACTCGCCAAGGTTTTCCAATTTGTTTTTCATACTTCATATAGTGACTTAGATCAAAATACCAAAATCCTTGAGAATGTGATTGGCAAATAAAAAATGCTATTTCCTAAATTGTAGACTCGAAAACTAGTTTTGACGCGTTATCAATAATTACATAACAATACCAATGAAAATAGAAATTCTAGATCTAAAGTAAAACTGTATGATTGACGAATGTTTTATAGTTAGCATTTGATGATGCCATACCAAAGTATTTTTGTGCGAATAGCTGAGTAATTTTGAGATCCTTTGTATCCCTCTCTAAAAACCTTTAGACAAATATAATGCTCTCTACATGTCAGAAAGTTGAAATGTTTGTTTTTCATTTAGCGATGCCATTTGAAGCGATCAGAAGAAAATATCAACAATATTATGTAGAACGGTTCATGAATACATGTCAAAAAGTTCCTATCGAAGAATGTTACATTAATTTATCGATAACAAGAACTGAGGAACAAGAAGAAAAAGAAAAGAAACTGCAGAGTGCTAAATCTCATGATGAAATCATCAATACATATGAAGAAATTTATCGAAATACGACATCAATAGATATAAAGGAAATTTTTGATAAATGCAAAGATCGAAAGAAACAAGTGCGTGTGATTGGACGAGCTGGAATCGGAAAATCAATATTTTGTCGATATGTTGCCTATCAATGGGCAGAAGGTAAACTTTGGTCACATTACGAACTGGTTGTATTAATTACATTGAATTCTTTAACACATGAAAGCTACCCCATGTCGGCATCTGATGTGAAATATAGTCTAGTTGATCTTGTGCAAACGCAGTATTTCCCATGCGAATCTCTATCCGACGATGATAAAATGTATTTCAAATCACTGTGCGATGAAGGTAAAGTTTTATGGTTATTAGACGGTTACGATGAACTTTCGCTAAATATTTCACACCAACTCAAAAGTGTATTCGATACTATATATCAAACACAACATCATATTTTGACCACTCGTCCATATGACATTTCATTGTCATATAAAACGCAAGTGGAAATCATAGGATTTACTGATGCCAATATTACCATGTATGTAAATCAGTTCTTCGAGCAATTAGACGAAAATGAATCCGAAAGTCAGCACCTGTTGACTTACTTAAAATCGAACACTAAAATTTGGGGTATCGCACATATCCCAGTGCATCTAGAACTAATCTGCTGCATTTGGAGTGACAGGAAAATATCAATGACAAAAGAAGCATCAGCAAAAACAACACTTGAAGTTACCATGCTTTACGATGAAATGGTTCAATGGTTATGTCGACAATATTTAAAGAAACAAAAGCATATGGCAACTTGTAGCATGACTAGAAATGCACTTCGAAAACACTGCGAAAAAGAATTAGAATTCTTAGAGAATGTAGCTTTTTATGTTATGAAAGACTCTAGCGTGATTATAGATTCAAATGTATTTGTTGAAGTAGAAAAAACAATGGGATGGTTCATAAGTGATTATCCGCAATTACTCAATATAGGTATTTTAAAATCATTCAACGACCAACGAATTGGTAGTCATGTCGACGTTAAAAAACCACATTATTTTGTTCACCTTAGTTTTCAAGAATTCTTTGCGGCCGGCTACATCGTCACTGGTCTTCGTAGTGGTAGACCTGAGGACTCAATAAATTTTATCAAGGCCAACAAGTACGATCAACGCTTTAGATTATTATTAAATTTCGTATCTGGTCTCCTGACTTTATACAATGAGAAAGAGCCTATTCAATATTTTTGGGATGCTATATTAAATGAGCCATTGGATTTAGTTGGCCTGAGACATTTCGATCTAATCATCTCGTGTCTTGAGGAGACCCGTGGCGGTTCCAGTATACCCAGGCGTCAGGAGCTGGTTGATTACATAGTGATGTGGATTAAAATCGGTGTTAATATGGAAGATAACAAAGTCCTAACATATCTCCAGCAAGCCTTGCAACAATCATGCATAATCGCTAATGAAATCACCATTCAAGAAACGCTTATTCAATTGATGCAAAGTAAAGAACCTTCCACCAAAATAAACACCTTAACCTTACTTTCCACACTACCATTCTCAAACTTCCCCGAAAAGTTACTTATGGAAGATAACAAAGTCCTAACATATCTCCAGCAAGCCTTGCAACAATCATGCATAATCGCTAATGAAATCAGCATTCAAGAAACGCTTATTCAATTGATGCAAAGTAAAGAACCTTCCACCAAAATAAACACCTTAACCTTACTTTCCACACTACCATTCTCAAACTTCCCCGAAAAGTTACTTGATTTAATCATCATAGACTTAAATATCGAACCATTTTACTTTCATGATACTATCTCAAAAGCCCTTACCAAACTCCTTGAACACATACCACATGATGTTGTGCTTCAGCGACTTCTGACCGTACTTAAACCTCAACACAATAGCAAACTAATAGAACGAGTCTTTACAATTCTAAAAAACACTCCTGAAAACCATGCCATATATGCAACGATTCATATGGTTGTATTAGCTACTCAAGATAAGAACATCTACCACAGACAAATTGCACATCAAGTTCTGGGACATCTTGGTGGAAAAGCAACAACTCAAGAGCTGATCAGACTACTTTTAACTGTACTGAGCGACCAGGACTGTGATGTCAGATTATGTGCATGTAATGCTCTGGGACTACTTGGTGAAAAAGCAGCAAGCGAAGAGGTGGTCAAAGTACTGTCAGCTGCACTTAGTGGCCAAGACAATGGTGTCAGAGTATATGCACGTAGAGCTCTGGAGCGACTTGTTAAAAACACGGGAAGTGAAAAGGTGACCAAAGGACTCTTAACTGCACTTAGCGACCAGGACTGTGATGTCAGAGAATGTGCATGTGATGCTCTGGGACGACTTGGTGAAAAAGCAGCCAGTGAAGAGGTGATCAAAGGGCTTTTAATTGCACTTAGCGACCAGGACTATCGTGTCAAAAAACGTGCATGTGATGCTCTGAGACAACTTGGTGAAAAAGCAGCGAGTGAAGAGATGATCAGAGGACTTTTAATTGCACTTAACGACCGGGACAGTGTTGTCAGAGTATATGCATGCAAAGCTCTGATACAAATTGATGGGAAAAGAGGAGATGTTCACATCATGAATGCTCTTGTGGATTTATTTCTGAGATCTGATTCGGAGTGTTATCATTTCCTTTCGAATCACCTGAAAAACGCTCTTTATCATTCTGAGACAATGATAATCTTAAAATCCGACATCGTTAGGAAACTTGAGATTTCTCTTAGTAAACGTTGTTTTGAGGAATTTTTAGCTATGCCTACACACAAATTTGTTAATGCATTACTGAAAACGGTTGACGTCTCATGGATGCCCATAGTAATACGAGCTGCGCTTTATCAGAGAAATGCCATTGTGGTTTGGGATAACTTTATATGGATTTATGGTAGTGAAGAGCCGAAGAGGTTCCAGTGCACTGATAAAATGAAGAATCAGTTGGTTGAAGCATTTTCTGGGCAAGGAAAAAAACCTAGGGGTGCCACATTTTTATTTAAAATAAAGAATTTTTTTTTAAATGAAAAGTTAAATTGAAAAGAAATTTTAGTTCAAGAAATTTTAATTTAATTTAATTTTAAATTTTGTATCATTTAAATTAGTAACTAAACTTAAATTGAGTTGTTTGAAATTCAAATTAATTAAATTTTGAAAACTAGTTGATAATCATAGTTTTTGACTTGATTGCTACTATTTAAAGTCTAATTTGAGTATTTTTCATGTTTTCTAAAGTTAAAGCTAGTCATTCTTCTATGAATTGTGCTAATAAATATATTTTTATGAGTATCCCTGTATTTTGAAGAAGAAAGATGACGATCCTGCATAATCTGTAGAGAAATTTTGACTATTATGAATAAATATTAACCTAAAATACTAGGTTCTCCTCTCATTTAGTATTTAGTATTGTTAAAGTCACGTATTTTCCTCATAGTAATGATGTGTACCCATCCAAACAATTTATTAAATTTAAAATTTAAATTTAAAAAAGTTTTAATGATTTATTAGTCCAAAAATTAAATTTTAATTTTTGTATGAGAAATATTTTAATTTATTTTAAATTTAACTTGATAAAATTTTGTTTAAAATTAAATTAATTTTTTGCGAAGTTAAATTTAAAGTAAATAAACTGTAAATTGACACTCCTAAAAAGAACTCAATTGTGCTGTTATATCATTATGTCTGCTATGACTAGTCTTTTTTGGAAAAAAAAGATCAGTTATGCAGTGCCGTCCACGCACCGATCCAAAATAAAATTGAAATTGAAAAAGAAACAACGCTTGCGACGCTGTAGCTAACAGCTGACACTATATCGGGGCTTAATCCAGACTAGTCTAAATAGCTGAAATATAAAACGAAAGGTTAGATTCGAGCATGCATAAAACTTATAACTTATAACTTACCCATCGCTTAATCCGCTGAAACATATATGATCAAGAGATCAACTCCTATATGCCAATACACACTTTAAGATACTATTTTACAGTTTTATTAAAATCTTTCAAGCTCTGATGTGAATAAAACATATTTACCATAAAATTCCTAATTATTCAAATAAAACTAATCGTAAGAAAAAAACATTGTTTTTCATTTGATAAATTACGTGTATTTTAATGTAAACTTTTTAAATTTCAACTTGAAAATAAACTAAAATTCTGTCATTTAAATCCATTTTCAAATACAAGTTATCAAAATGTATACCTATAATAAAAATATAATGCTGATGTAAGATAGTAAAATTATTGCTAATTTTGTTTCTATGAGCTGATGATAATTGCTAATTTGCTTATAATCAAATATTCAATCCATCTTGTCGTCATTGTTCGTTTTGAAAAACGTTTCTTATTGCAAATGACAACAAAATGATTAATATTTTACTGTCTGATTTATATTATCAATGCAACTAATTATCAATCAAATCTCATAAGAAACGATGCGATTATTTAAAAATATCTTACAGAACATTACACACTCTTCTAGTTCCAATCAAATCAGTCTAAGAAAAGCTGTTTGGAAGATAAAGTTGAAGCAAAAGAGACATATGAAAACCTTAGACTACCCCATATAAGCGTTACGAGGATCGTATATCACTGTTTACGTCGTATTTCTTGAAATCTGAATTACGACTGTATCTTCATCTTATGCAGCCGTAAATAATCGTACACGGCTGTTGTAATCGACAGTATTCGGCGATATACGATCATATAATATTGTCGCAAATGGTAGCCGTTTATGAATGAGATCGAACGATTTTAAATCAGGATCTAACCGAACCAAACTTCATATTCATTTTTGTAGCTTGATTTCGAAACATGTTTTTTTACAATAGATAATCTGTTTTGCATATACTTTTCTGTAAAATATTGTTTCCATTAGAATTTTTTCTTGAACCCTATTTCAGATCAATATTTCAATCCTTAACTTATCTCATACTGAAAAGAATTTAGTTTCTTCTTTATATTTAGACCGTGAATCGTCATTTTTGAAATGATTAGCTCTTTTAGATTCAACCAATGATCGTAAAAATAACTTATTCAAAATATTTATCTATACATCTCAACTTATTTTGTCTTTTCATGTTTTCGATTATATTTCAGTTTTATTGTGAGTGAATACTTCTTTATTATTTATTTTATTTTTTTGAATATTCATTTAGTTTAAAATAATACACGGGTTTTAATTTTCTTAATAAAATATTCGATTAATTGCAATTAAAAATAAATATCGCTTAACATGTCTATAAAATTAGATAAAATCACGGAAATCGTGCCAATAATCAACAGAATCAAATGTAATGATCGATTGAAAAATTATGATTTATCGCACAAATCACCTAAGTCACCGAGAAAAAATGGTGACTAATCACGTTTCAGCTCACGATTATCGTTTCGATATATCACGGTTAATCGTCAATTTCCAGGCTATTTTGGAGATAGGGGGGGGGGGGGAATTTTTTTGTNCTCTCACGCCCCCCCCCCCCCCCCCCCCCCCCCCCCCCCCCCCCCCCCCCCCACTCTTTTCTTGGTGCAACGTTCTCAGCGCACAGCGGCGCCAAAAAAATAACAGGCAGCAGTAGCAGTCTTCATATTATGAAAAAATCATAGATGTTAAACGATAACTACAGAGCAAGTTGTGACCAAGAAACCTGATGGTGCTCCTATTATATCTAATAATGTTGACGTACATTTTCTTCTGTTCCTTCTAGAGAATAAAATGGTTTTAAACAAACAACATTTCTCTTTTGCTTTGATCACTTGAAAAATGTTATCAAAAACTATCTACGCAGCGATATTCGTTCTTCTCGCAGTGGTTGCCATAATCGCAAAAAAAACATCCGATTGAAATTGTTAATAGCGGTTCAACGAATACACCTGGCTATAGGGTCGAGATTGAACATAATGGTAATGTACACTATTATATTGCGCCACGACGAGTAGGGATAATAAGTCTGAACGGTGGGACAAATGGAACAGCGAAATTATCACGCAAAACAACAAAGGATTTGTACCATCATATTAAACAATGTGAGCCATTTAATAAACTTACAATTGAAACATGTTTAAAAAGTGTTTCCTTCGGGTTTTCTCTGAAACTGATATACAACGGGCAAACAACGCCCGATTTAACTTGTCCAACTAACAATACACACTTAGAAAATCTGGCTAAAGTAGTCAATAGTGTCATCAGCGAATAGGGGTGTCACATTTTAATTTAAAAAAATTTATTAAATCGAGAAATAAATTTTCAAAAATTAAAATTTAAAATAAATTAACTTTTATTCAAATGAAAAGTTAAATTTAAATTTAATTAAATTTTAAATTTTATATCATTTAAATTTAACTAAATTTAAATTAAATTGTTTGAAATTCAAATTAGTTAAATTTTGCAACTAGTAGAAAAACATAGTTTTTGACTTGATTGCTACTATTTAAAGTCTAATTTGAGTATGTTTCCTGTTTTCTAAAGTTAAAACTAGTCATTCTTCTATGAATTGTGCTATTAAATACATTTTTATGAGTATCCTAGTATTTTGAAGAACAAAGATGACGGATCCTGCATAATCTGTAGAGAAATTTTGACTATTATGAACAAATATTAACCTAAAATACTAGGTTTTTTCCTCTCATTTTGTATTTACTACTGTTATAGTCACGTATTTTACTCGTAGCAATGATGTGTATCCATCCAAACAATTTATTAAATTTAAAATTTAAATTTAAAAAAATTTATTAAACCGAGAAATAAATTTTCAAAAAGTTACTTTAAATTAAATTTAACTTCTAAAAATTTAAATTTTATTTAAATTTAAATTTTTGCATCAGAAGAATTTAAATTTATTTTAAATTTAACTTGATAGAATTTTATTTAAAATTAAATTAACTTTTCACGAAGTTAAATCTAAATAAAATAAAATGTAAATTGACACCCCTACGTAAAGGTTAAGTTAACATTTGCTTTTTATCCCGTTATCTTATTTCAGTTATAATAAAGACTATGAAGTCAATTTATTGAGAAGATAAGAAACTTTTCTTCATTTTAGACTGCCATCGTATAGTACTTACAATGTGTTTCTTTTCAGGAAAGTTGAACAATAAAATACAAATCAAGTTATGGCAATGCTGACAGTGTTTTTATTTAGGTTGAGGTTTTTGAAGTGACTGCGGATTAAAAAAAGTTTTCTCATCTAGCATTTTGATGAAATCAAGTGTATGTTTTTCAACGGGAGTCTTCCACCCGACCCGTAAAATAGATAAATCACTGAATGCCGACTTGTTAGCGTCAGTAGATGGCACTTACAGACGCTACACATTTATTCTTATGTTATGTTTCTTTAATCTGTGTTTTGATTTGTTAGGTAATTCTTTAACTTTGTCTTTCGTTTGTTTTTTCGCAGCTGGTTGATTGTTTTGCTTCTGTACGATCAGTCCGTTCCTGTCTTCTCTCTATTATTATTATTATTATTATTATTGCTCTCTCGTTGTTTACCATGCGAAACTCTCATTCAATGCAGACCCTATCCCCATTCTGCATGTAAAGCGATTTATGTAGTATGCAACTAATTACAACTACAATCGAGAGTCTCACATGACTTATGTTAGAAGTACCGAAAAGGGTCTATATTTCAAGGAATCCTTGTCTATCGTATTGATATTAAACTGCCAATTCGAGAAAACTCAGTGCTAGTGAAATTTCGAAATTCGATACTTATTACGGGAAGAATTAATTATTTTCCTATCAATCAGAATTTGCAGAGCATTTATCTCTGATCATTTAAATAAGAAAAATATTTTTTACAAGATTTTAAATTTCATACAAACAAAAATATTTTTTCTGTATCATTTTCTAATTTCTATGGCTCAGAGTAACGAATCTAGTCATCGTCATTAAAATTGAGAGTAATGAAAAATGTATTAAATGCTTAGCTAGAAGTATTATAAGTAACGTTTTGCGTTAAAAGTAAAGAAGAAAACAGAAAAATATTCGACCTGTATTATAATCGCTTGCAAAGATTGCCTAAAGCAAACGAACTTTTGTTTTCT